AAGCTCTGCTCGACCTCACAATCCGATTCATATTTATCATCTATGCATAAGTTTGCAAGATCGTCATCTCCATCTTTTTCTAGATACGTTAAGCCTCATTTTCACTCAAATTTTGTTTTAAAAAACAGAATATGTCAACACCAATATGTAAATATTAAAATACAATATATAAAATATTTAAATCAAATGCCACACTTCTACCTCGACACACTCATCCTGTAGATTCCAAGTAATATGAAATTAGTCACAACTCATCAAATATATCAAACAAACGAAAAGAGGTTACTTGAGGCACAATGTTCACAAGTTATACAGTATTAATATGTTAAAAAATATGAGGCTTCTCAATCTTCTTTTGACATTAGCATGGTTTGAATCCGTTCCATGTTATTTCCTCAGACGAACTCGTAAACTCTTTGATCACATTTTCTTTATACTCCCATTCCTTGAGACACTCTTCTGCGGTATGACCATTTCGTACTTCTTTTGAAATACATTTTCAGGTTATTCATTGTCATCATCCTGCATTGATCAAAGATTTTATTTGTTACCTAACCATTAAAAAAGAAAAAGATAGTAGGATTAGATAACAAATCATATATATGAAACCACAATAACCCTCTCCAGATTTGTGACACGTGGCATTCACATTTAATCAAAAGACGTTTCGATCTATTCACCTTCTCTCCATCCCCTTCACCTGCTTTTGTATGCTTGTAAACTGGTTCACTGATCTTTGGAGATTTCGAAGGGCCATTTTATTTCAGTGATTTTCTGCGGTAATCTATTTTTAACAAACGCCTCATCCTGTTATTGATATCTTTGGTTTCTTGCACAACACGATTTGTTCCTCGGTCTGTAAAATTGGGTTTCAAGAGGCAGAAGGTTGATGGTGAAGGTGAAGAAATTGACGCAGAAGATTGAGGTAGATCCAATGTCTTCTTCTACTTCGCCTTCGCAACCGCAACCGCAAGGAGCGAAGCTGATTCCTCCTCATGATCTCCATCTCAGTCAGTCTAATAGTCAGATTCTTAATCCCTAAACCCGAACCTGTAACCTCAAAAGGATGGCAATTACTCTCAGTCTTTATCTTCACCATCTTAGGTCTTGTCCTTGGTCCCCTCCCTGTCGGTGCTTGGGCTTTTATCGACTTAACCGCTTCAATCGTACTGCAAATGCTTCCTTTCTCAACCGCTTTTGCCACTTTCACCAACGAGCTTATTTGGCTAACCGCGATTTCCTTCTTCTTCGCTCGTGGGTTCATCAAAACGGATCTTCACGATAGAATCTCTACTTATTTTGTGAAATGGCTTGGAAAAAGCACTTTTACTTTATCTTGTGGTCTTGCGTTCTGCGAAACGCTTATGGGTTTGATTATACCGTCTAAAATGGCAAGGGCCGGTGGCGTTTTCTTGTCGGTCATCAAATCTCAATCTCTCTTTGTCGGAAGTAAACTTGGTGACTCATCTTCCAGAAAGTTAGGTGCTTTTCTAATTCAATCCCAATTACAGGTAAAGACCCAAAATCAAGATTCTATCTTTAGATGATTAAATCCAGAAATTGAAGCGTCTTCACTATTAAATCAGTAACTTGTAACTTCTTGGATTCATAACATCAACTTTGTAATGGTTTATTGGTTTATATATTTTGTGAATAGTGTTAAGGTAATTCTGGTGCGCTACTTCTTACATCAGCTGCACAAACTTGTTATGTCTCAAACTAGCCAGAAAGGTTGGAGTTGTACTCTCAAATCCATGGATCATTTGGTGTAAAGCTGCGAGTGTTCCTGCATTTTTTTCTCTTTTTTTAACACCTCTCATTGTCTACAAGTTTTATCCTCCTATGCAGAAGAAGATTAGAGAGCAAAAAAAGATTAAAGCTCGCACTGCTGAGAAACGAGCTCTAGCGCTTCACTAGGAGGTAAAACCATCTGTAAAATTTAATTGGGTTTTTAATTCTAACCTGAAATCCCAATTTTGGTTTTTCCTTCTTTTGGAGCCTCCACAAAAGATGATTTCGAGAAGAATTGATGTTCTTTGGTTTTTTTTAATTCAACCCTGACATCTACATTCTCATGTTCAATGTTCATTCATCTCAATTCTATTTTATAGTCGTCGCTTATTTACTTACTATGAATTTGCATTTGTTCGCTGATATTGATGGTGATGACTTTAATCCTGTCATAAGATGTGAGATTATACCTAAGATCTTGAACACAATAAAGTCTCTGCACAAAAGACACTCTACAGTTTTGTTGTGATTTTTAGCTTCAGCTAATATATGGTTATGTCTCATTGTTGTTCATACAAATCATAGGAACCTAGTTAGTTTTCGTTTCTATGTTTCATGTTTTTTTGTTATATGGAGAAAATCATCTATCAACTTGTATGTTGATCTCAATTTAAAATACTTGTAAAAATTATAAACTTCTTTGTCTTGCCTTATAGTTATATCTATGTTCCTCCTTATCAAATAAAGTATATTTCTTAAAAATTGAACAATTATGAAATAAATGATGGCTTGCTATATGTGCCTGTTTTTCAACGAAATATTACAGGAATTTGAGGGAGATGTTCAAGTTAAATGCTGCAGAGTACATGATATCTATTTGTGGTGATTATGGCATGACAGAACTTTTTTGTCCTGCGAAAAGTAGCATTATCTTCTACCTTTCTCACGACGACAAATTTGTGATCAAGACATTAAAAATATTGAGTTGCATGTTTGAACTAATTGAACAAAGATGTGATTTTATGTGTGCTCATCTTTACCCAAATTTGTGATCAGGAGGACACTCGTCTTAAAAGAAACATCGAGAATACACGCTTCCCCCGCTATTTACATGTGAAAGAAGTACAAGAATAGAGATGGTGATGATTACGCCAACAAAATAGTCTAAGTGAAAAAAGGTTCTCTCTTAGAGAAAAGGTAAGTGACCCTCTTTGTTTTGTCCGCCTATGGGATGTACATAAGGTTCTTATTGAGTGTTTCTTTAACTTCTTTTAGTTGCAAAGTTATCATGTATTCAAATGTCTAGGCGGGATTAGTGAGCATGTTGTCAACAAGATCCAAGTGGTAATTAACAACTTCGATCTCTTTACTAATTTCGTTCAAAAGTCTTCTCATGCAATAACAATCGCTTCATGATACTGCTTTATACTTGTAAATTGGCAATGCATTTGAGCCTTGTAGATTACAGAATATGTGATGGAAAGGTGGGAAACCAATGATAGTCCGATTGTTGACAAGATTCAGAAGTATTATCTAATTGCTCCCACTCCCTTATTATCTTCCTAAAAAAAATTAGCTTACTTACTCAAACTGATATATACGTCCACCATTTCGCTTTTGTGCTATGAATGAGAAGATCTTTCAAGAAACATATTATGCATCACCTTTCAGTAATCATACTTTTATCTCTTCCATGGTCGGATCATTCTCCTTGCCGGACTTTGTTGTAGAAGTTCAGGAAGCCATAAGGCCAATCTTGAATGAATTTAGTCAGGTGGATCTCGAATTTTCAAATGGATCGTTTCTGCGTTTATTTGTTTATGGAGCCTCTATTTAGTTTTTAGACCTTGAAGAAGTATTGCAACAAGAAAGTGATTGAACGGTGCTCGGCATAGCGCGCAATTTTTCCAAAGTCATGGTTTTTTCTGATAAGGTAAGGTTTTTGTTCGTGGATCATCCAGACTCTTATGAAATAATGTACGTCCCTGAACCAATGGGTTAATTTTGTTGTGAGTATATCGTTGTGCTTGTGATGCTCAGCTTCTGCATATATCAGAAGTTGAAGTTCAAGAGACAATGATGATGATAACTTCCCAAGTAATCATCATCAAGGTAAGGACCTTCTATATTCTTCTCAGGTCATCCTTTTCTTAGGGGAAAAAGCTATTTAACTCAATTGGAGGCTCAGAGAGATGCAGAGAATTGTTGTTCAAGCTCTCATTTAAAATCTTCTTATCTTTGAACCTATGCTTTTTTTTGGGTCAAAATCTTTTAACATATGCTAACCCTCTCTCACGCTGCAATGTACCATTATTTACTTAAATCCTTTGTAATGTTTTTATTTTCCTTCTTCACGCTGCAATGAAGAAGTGGGTTCCCATATTTTCTATGTTTAAGCTTTGTTCTCATGTATTGATGTCTTAAGAAGCTAAAAGCCTAAAACTCTTTGGTTAGAAAATAAAAAATATTAGCATTTGTAAAATGAATAATTATTACAGTTTTTTAAAAACTTTTAAAATATTTGTGACTTGTTTCATCTAACCAAACGTGATAATCGTAGAATTTTATAAATTATAATTTTGACTAGCGTTTTAAAAGTTTATTTCTACACAAGTTATATTTATCTTCCGCATTGGCTAATTGGTATTTTGTTTCATGACTATGTAATTTTCCAATTTGCATGATATTTTGACAAAAATAAATTAAGATAAATGTTCAATTAATATATAATATTAGTTATAAAATTTATCCCAAATGATATTTTCATAATTGTTTGTTTGTTTCGTTTCCAAACAAGAATCATATGTTTTTTATATAATGCGAAAATGCATTTATGTATGTAGTGGTCAAGATAAGAATGAGATGGAAAGCGATGAGACGATATTTTTTCATCTCTAATGTTTTATTAAAAAACTTGCGCGTATGCGTGGGTATTGGCCTAGTTTCTTTTAAACATAAAAGGTAGAAATAACAAACTCTCATCTCAAAGAAAAGATGTAGAGATAATATGATTAGAGAATTACCTTGTAAAACACACGATTACACGGTATACTTCACCG